GATTTTAATGCCCACCACCGAGACTGGCTGAATTCTGTGTCCCCAACTGACCGACATGGCATATCTGCCTTAGATTTTGCAGATGTAGTTGGGTGTGAGCAGTTAGTCCGTGATGCAACTCACAGGAGTAGTAATCTTTTGGATCTTTTACTAACCGATGTGAAAGGGGTTGTTGATATAGACTCCATCTCACCGATGGGTTCTTCCGAGATCCAGCTAGACTTTCCTACACCAGATTTTACTCTAACTAGACAAGTCTTCTTTAAGTCTAGAATTAACTGGGGTGGTGTCTATCATGCTTTTGGTAGAAGCTCTGAACTGGTTATTGTTGGACATCATGATGAGGTTTGTTATCCAGCAAAACTCGTAAATCTCGTTTACATGATAAAGCATGGTTTAATGAACGGTGTCACCAGGCTTATAGGGACAAACATGCTGCCAACTGTACTCATGATTGTTGGGAGAATTGTTGTCTTGCGAAACACTGCAACTAATGGTTATAAATCTGAATATAATGCTCATTTGAGTTGTTCTCTCAGAAGCATCAAAGCCTCATAAATGGTGATCAGCAGTTAAAGCATCTCTATTTGGTGTTGAGGCCTCCAATTCCTCCTTTAATGAAACCTGATGGTAGTGTTAGCTACCTTGTTAGCAAATTATATTATTTTAAATAAAGTTTAGAAGATATTGAACTTCCTCTTGCAAGTCAGCCATTGCCATGCTTGAACTAATTCTGATAAGTATCTAGTAGCAGAATTAGATGAATATGGTGTAGACCCTAATGGCTTTACTTTGATATTAAAACGACTAAATGGCCAATTAGCTGCTAAATTAGCCGTAATCTGACGCCTTTTGGTTCGTAAAGAGTGAATGTTAGGAATATGGTTCGAAGAATTTCATCTAAGTTAGGCATCATTCGCAAGTGCAAGAAGATCTATGATGACAACATTACTCGTAGATGCTTCTTTTCTTTTATTCTGCCTCATTCTGAGTATTGTAGAGTCACACTAAGACTGCTTGGTCGTTCTTTTAATTCTATGAAATTTCTCATCTCAGACAAGTCAGTGAGGACATTTGAACAATGGACATCGTCGGGTTAATGGGGCTCTTTCAGTCGTATACAAGATTGTAACCGATAATTCACATCCCCTCTATAAGTTTTAACCTGAATTTTATCAACCTGCAAGAGTTACCAGAAGTTCTACGACTCAATTCAATGACATTTGATGTAAGTCGATCGTCTACAAGTCAATTTTCTAGTTGTTTTTACTACTATTTGTAGGCTTTGGAATAAGTTTGAAAGTTTAGCCATGTTTTTCTTACGTAAATAGCTGATTTTCTATTCATTCTTTCTTAGCGGTACCTTGACCTGCACTGACACCTTGGTGGTATAAATCTCGATTTATTCAATGTGTCTCTTTATATAGCTTACAATAATGATAATACACACATACAA